GTATGTAAATCACATATGATTATGACCACCTGTCCATCCAACATATGAAATGACAATGTCCCAGGCCAACCAGGTTCCCCCCCTGAGGTTCCCTCGTAAAAAAAAACACTATGCGGTGACACCTTTTGTTATAACATAACATTTTTTCGCGAACCCCTGACAAACAAATATGACGAAGTGCGCACGCGCGCGCCGTCGCGCGCGCATGCCGAAATCCTCCAAAAACCTTCGGTGCCGGAAGGCTTTCGCAATCGATTTCCCAAAACACATACGAAAACACATGGTTTGGCAACACTGATTTGCTAGAAAAAAACTCTCGCGCGAACTCTTGCGAAATCTTAAGAAAACAATAGGTTTTTAAATATTTTCACAAAAAGGCTACCAAACGGTTTTCGCGCGCGCATGTCAAAATCTGTCGAACGCCCTTGCGCGTGTGCCGTCGCGAGAACCCTCTGCAAAAAAAATACGAAGTGCAGACGCGCGCGTCTTCGCGGGCGTATGCCGAAGTCCTTCAAAACCCATCGGCTTCGGAAGGATGTCAAGTCGTGTGTTCAAAAACGCAACACGGATTTTCAACAAAAGCGTGCGCGCGCGATCTTGCGTCGTCGTCGTCGTCGTCGCCGTCTTCCCTCCTCCCGCGTCGTCGTCGTCGTCGTCGTCATCGCCTATGTCGTCCTCTGTCCTTCCTCGTGTTCGTCGTCGTCGTCCTATTTGGCGTCGTCGTCGTTTCCGTCGTCGTTGTCGCCGTGGTCGTCCTTCCTCCTCCTCCCTCGTCGTCGTCGTCGTCGTCCGTCGTCGGCGTGTCGTCGTCGTCCCTCCTATTTCGTCGCCGTCGCCGTCGTCGTCGTCGTCGTCGTTGTCGTTGTCGTCGTTTTCCCTCCTCCCTCGTCGTTGTCGTCGTCGGCGTCGCCGTCCTTCCTCCTTCTTCGTCGTTCGCGTCGTCGCCGTCCTCCCTCCTCCCTCGTCGTTGACGTAGTTGTCGTCATTGTCGCCGTCGTCGTCATCCCTCCTCCCTCGTCGTCGTCTTCGTTGGCGACGTCGTCGTCGTCTTCGTCGTCGTCGTCGTCTTCGTCGTCGTCGACGTCGGCGTCGTCGTCGCCGCCGTCGTCGTCGTCGTCGGAGTCGTTGACGTCGTCGTCGTTGTCGTCGTCGTCGTCGGTGTCGTCGTTGTCGCCGTCAACGTCGTTGGAGACGTCGCCGGTGTCGTCGTAGTCGGTGTCGGCGCCGCCGTCGTCGTCGTCGTCGCTGTCGTCGTCGGCGTCGGTGTCGTGGCCAAGTGTCATGTGGTACCTACCGTCACGGTCTTGTTTTAAGAGGTCTTGCGACCAAGTTGCGGGTGGGAGGGTGGGGTGTTTGCACGAGCAGTGGGGAGGACAGCTTCAAGACTGTCAAAGAGAATGCTGGCCCATAAGATGCACCTCCAGCGTCGCACAGAAAAAGCGTTCAAGGCGCGATGCCCATCTGGCAAAAGCGGGGCCTACCTTGATCGCCCCAGCCTCGCCCAGGCTGAAAGCGAAAAAGTCTCTCGCGTAGCTCGGCACCTTGACATCCATGACTGATTCCTGCAGCGACTCCCACAGATGATGCTGCTACTTCGTGATCGTGAGAAGCTGATGACCTGGCGGCCCACTCAGACGTTCGGGTACTGTCCGATTCTGGTGCTCCGCCTCATCCAGCTCGATGGGGCGGTCGCGCGGCTGCCCCTGGTTCGGGGGCGGGGCTGCGGGCTGCCCCCAGAGCTGCCCCCCGCCCCGCCCAAACCTGCGCGCCGACCCTCTAGCCGACTTGAGCCCCGTCCACGCTGCCCCACCTTCAGCGGCACGCCCTCCACCCTTCGCGCCAGCAGCGGACCGAGGGCCCGCGGCGCTCGGGGGGCCCACGGGCACTCCAGATGACGAAACCTCAATGGCACCTTCGTCGGCAGCTCCCACAGCAGCAGAGCATGACGACTGGGCCCTGCCCCTCGCGCAGTTTACCACTTGGGTGCTCCTTGAGGCAGGGACTTGCGCTCTAACTTGTGGCGGCATTGCCGTACCCCTCTCGCTGTCTACGTCGTGGGTGCACCTGGGGGTAGGGACTTGCGAACACCCATCTCCAACTGTGCCAAGTACTTCGTCTGGCTCACTTCAGGAATCGCAATTCTCCTCCACCTCCCCCCCGATGCCCTAGTCGTCGCTGGCGAGGTAGCAGATCGGAGGTGGCGACTTGAAACCTACCACCTGGCGCTTCATCAAAGGTGTCGCCGACTCTGGTGGCGCCGCTTGTTCAACCTGCTCCTTCGTTTGCAGTCTAAGCTTCCGAGTGCGCTCGCTCTCGGGATCCTTCTGATTCTTGGGCAAGGGAGGGTGGGCGAATTTTCCTGCCAACGGTAAAACCCATCTGGAAGCCTGCTCCAAGTGAACCTTCAACTTCAGATGCAATCCGAAATGAGCCCTACCTCCAACATGGCAGGTCGCGTCGTCCACAGCGAAGGAATCCATGAATCTGATGATAGACGGTGGCGCAACCAGAAAAGATCAATATCTTCTTACCTTCTTACCCCGAATGCACGTGCAATCAGAACTAGCCGCCGTCCAAATGATACCGTCTACCGCGTTGGGCCAGTCTGTCTTCTCCAACTCGCGCGGCTCCGCATTGTAATCTCAAGTAGCCAACCAAGGAGCGCGGATGCTCTGGATCAGCTGGCCCACGTGGATTAGCGCGTCAATTTTCGTGCCTTCCAGGTCAGCGTCAGCAGTGAGGTACACCCTCATGATGGTGGTCGCCTGGCCTCCGATCTTCAGCTGAAGCGCCGCTAGGTCCTTGAAGTCTAGGCCTCTCTGCTTGGCGCCCCCTGGCTCGTCAATCAATCTGAACCCCAACTGCTGAGATGGCTTGTTCACTAAGCGCCTGAAAGAATAGAACTGGCATTCGTTTCAAGACTCCTGCCGGGATGCCCCCAGCTCTCTTCGCTCCGTTCATGGGGTACGACGGCGCAACTACAGCCTGGTAGCCCGATCTGCCCCATTCATGCAAGACTACTTGGCATTCTTCGGGTAGTAGGTGCAGCTCAGGAAAATCAGGACATCGCGGCCCCTCTCCTTCAGCAGGCCCTTCGCCGGGCAGCCCCCCTGCCCCTTGTTGGCGCGAAGCCCCCCCCCCCCCCCCCGCCAAGCCAAGCCCTCCACCTCGCGCCTGGGGCTGGCCATCTGGGGGTCCAGACGGCCGTCTTCCCCCGTGGCAGCGGGTTAGGGAACCTCTGGCTGTCGTCTGGGACAAGGATTTGGGCTGCCTCATCAGCTGGTGCCCGACCTCCTGAACCAGCTGCCTCACCTGCAGGTGGTGGGGCCTCTGGCACCTTCCTCTTCTCCTTCGCCCTCTCGACCGCGGCTGCGAGATGCTCCTTGTGCCGGTCAATATTCGCCTGCAGGGGCCCGCGCCTGGCCTGCGCAGCCGCGGACAGAGCCTCCTGAAGCATCCTCTTGGCCCCGTCGAGTATCTGGCGATCCCCCTCCAGCACCTCCAGTCCGTCCAGCTGCGTTTCGAAATTGATCTCCGAATCCACTTTGCCATGCCAAATCAGCTGGGCATCGACTGAGGCTGCCTTCCTATCTGGTAGTGCGGTGTGGGGCAAAAACTGCTTCGCCGCTGCAATATCATTCGCCTCGGCCCGCTGCACCTCCTCCGTGGCATGGCGCAGATCCTTCTCCGGCTTCTCAAGATCTCGCATGTCGCAGGCCCATGCCGCCCTGACCTTCTATAGCTGCTTCTGTGCGCGATTGACTCGAGCCGACGCCTGCTGCAGACCCAGCCCTGGCTGGAGGGGTGGCTTGGGGGGCTGGCTCATCCAAAGCCTGCAGGGGCCCCTGAACTGCGCCCTGGGCCTTGGCAGGTAGGGGGGCGACCAACTTCCGAAGCTGAGCCCCTCGAGAGAGCCTTGGAGCTGACTGCTGGCCCCCTTCGCGCTGAGAAAAATATAAAAACAGCATAATCAGCATCGCTGAATTTGCAACCGCACTCACACGTCCAATTCTTCGGGTTGAGGCGATCCTGGAAGAGCTTCTTGCCACAGGCGGTGCGCTCCACCATGGGCCGCCCCTTGCGATTCCCCCTTCACCCAGACGTGCCCGCGAAATGACCTCGCTGGTTCAGGAGTGGTGGGTACTCAAGCCACAAGCCGTAGTCTTTACCTTGGCCGCCTCCCTGGGCATTTCCTCTCTGCACCCACGGACTGTAGACGAACTTTTTGTGCCATGGCTCATAGCGCTGCACAACCATCTGCGAACTGTGGGTGCGCGAAAACGATGGGGGCTGGTCCCCAATACCTCATCAGAGACTTGAAACTGTTGGGGCCGCGTGCGCCAAGGAAGCGCCCCCAGTGCCACAATGCTCTCGTCCGCGGTTGACGCTCGGGCCACGCTACGGACTTGAGCCTCAATGGCTGGGGATCCCAAGCGGCCAAAGAAGATCCCTGATTGACCCGAAGGTCCCTAGAGGTCGGACCAAGATGCCAAACTCATTGAGAAGCATCTCTTGGCGGTTAAACAACATTGATTCCAATGTGATGTAAGTGCCGCCGTTTTCTTGTTCAGGAGCGGGCAAGACGGCCAAGGCAGCGGGAACCAACAGGACCCCAAGACGGCCCAAGACAGCCACCACAAGACGGCCCTAGAACGTCCTGAGACGGCCATACATGGCTTCCAGGGGCCCACGGACGGCCGAAAAACGCCACCGAGACGGCCTCCGAGGGTGACAGGATGCACAGCATCGCCCTGATCCGGCCAAACCAAAACCCCAACAGTGCCCAAGAGGGCCCCCCAGAAGGCCCCAGAAACTCGAAAAGAGCCCAAAGACAGCCCCAACACGGCCTCAAACCGCCCCTCGACGTGAATCCCCAGCGGTTTCCCCAACAGCTGGGGGAACACGCGCTCCACTTTCCTGGCCGCACTTTCGGTTTACATTTCACGACACAAGCGTTTTCCAAAGCCAAAGGCCGGCTGTGACTCGCCGAAGGCGTCTTCGATAAGTTCCTCCGCCATCGACAAGAACGCTTCTTTGTCGCCCCAAGCATCGTCCAATGCCTGCAACGCCTGGGAGAATTCCATCGATCTTCGCGAAGGGTTGTGTGATTCTTGAGAATTACACAAGTCGCACATGAAACAGAAATGAAACTGAGTGTTCAACTCATTTTGCCGTGCCCAACGGGGCCAGACGCGCAACGGTCCACAACGTGGCAAGTAACAGATCTTCACGCTGTCGCCTGCTGACAAGTCCTGCAAGGCGAACAAGCGCGAAACACCCAAACCTGCGATGCTGGAATATTGGGCATTCGAATCGCAAGCGTGCTGGGCAATCGAAATGTGCTCGAACAGTGCTATCTTCTTCCCTCCATCGTAACTGTGACCGTTCACGCTCAAGATGCGGCGGAAACGGTCCACTTGAAAAGGCAACTCGTGCATCATCGAGCTATCTGTCTTGCCCTGGTTGTACTCGAACTTCCTCAACCATGACTTTTGGGTGTCACATAAAGCATGGAATGCACGGTTGTACTATGATGCGTTGGCAATTGTTCTCCCTGCGAAGTCCCGGGTTGATGCATTGTCTATTTCAATCACGGGCCGCTCGGTCACTATGCTTTCACCAGCTTTGACGTCTCGTGTCAATTCCAGTATGCGACCAAGTTTCGCGTGCCCCACAACACGTACATAGCAATGTTCTTCCACCATGACAGAGCCACTGGCGAACTACACAACGACGAGTCGCGCAACGACTACACTTGACCCAAGATGGTCACAGAACGCCTCAAGCGAAAAGTTGCCCAGATCGAGAGCGCAGCAAAGGTGCATGCTGTTCTTGTTCGGAGCATGTTACCCTCCCCACTAAATAACGAATGGTGCGAGGGGTCTGCATTGCTGTAAGACTGTCGTCTTGAACAAAGACCGACCGTTCCGGCGTCCCTATAGCCATACCACGGACGGTTCTCGAAACCAGAAAAATGTTCCAAGGACAAAAACGAAGATCTTATAGCATAAGGCAAACGTGCTAGAACAAGACGGCCTGAGCCAAACATGTCCTATGAACATTTAGCGACAAGTTCTTATAACAAAGCAAGAGCGTCCCGTCACTGCTGGTTCCGAACTGATAAGTTTGCCGGCCAAGCGATGCCCGCGCGCCGTGCAAGCGTGCAATGCTGGGCTCCGTAAGTCGCCGAACCGTGCCGTGCCGTGCCTGGTTTTCGGAATGCAAATAAATTACCCTGTGACGTACCCAACCCATTTGTATCATGGGAAACGAGGAATTGGCCGAAACTTGCACGGACAATCAAATTGCAGGATCCGTTGATTGATATGTCAGCTACTTGGGACACGCGCCAATGGCATGACGCGCAGGAGAACCATACAAGAACGAGGGGCGACAACTACAGGCTCGAAGAGGACATGGGGACTCGGGAACGAAGAGCAGGCGAAAGATGTGCGGGAAGCCCACTGTGCTGTGCCCCTCAGCAGCCCTCGAAAGTGGCGACAGTTTCACAGATCGCAGCCCCCCAGGTATGGCGAGGTCCCATTTGAGTCTGCGGTGGGTACCCACTGTGCGGGGCCCCTCAGCAGCCCTCGAAAGTGGCGACAGTTTCACAGATCGCAGCCCCCCAGGGATGGCGAGGTCCCATTCGAGTCTGCGGTGAGTACCCACTGTGCTGTGCCCCTCAGCAGCCCTCGAAAGTGGCGACAGTTTCACAGATCGCAGCCCCCCAGGTATGGCGAGGTCCCATTTGAGTCTGCGGTGGGTACCCACTGTGCGGGGCCCCTCAGCAGCCCTCGAAAGTGGCGACAGTTTCACAGATCGCAGCCCCCCAGGGATGGCGAGGTCCCATATGAGTCTGCGGTGAGTACCCACTGTGCTGGGCCCCTCAGCAACCCTCGAATGAAGCGACAGTTTCACAGATCGCAGCCCCCCAGGGATGGCGAGGTCCCATTCGAGTCTGCGGTGAGTACCCACTGTGCTGGGCCCCTCAGCAGCCTTCGAAAGTGGCGACAGTTTCACAGATCGCAGCCCCCCAGGGATGACGAGGTCTCATTTGAGTCTGCGGTGAGTACCCACTGTGCTGGGCCCCTCATCAGCCCTCGAAAGTGACGACAGTTTCACAGATCGCAGCCCCCAGCAGCCCTCGAAACGCAGCGACGAGCGAGGTAAGAAAGTGGCGACAGTTTCACAGATCGCAGCCCCCCAGGGATGGCGAGGTCAAATTTGAATCCGCCGTGAATCCCCAGTGTGCTGGGCCCGCCAACAGGCCTCGAAAGTGGCGACAGTTTCACAGATCGCAGCCCCCCAGGGATGGCGAGGTCAAATTTGAATCCGCCGTGGGTGCCCACTGCGCTGGACTCCCCAGCAGGCCTCGAAAGTGGCGACAGTTTGACAGATCGCAGTCCCCCGAGGATGGCGAGGTCACATTTGATTCCGCCGTGGGTGCCCACTGTGCTGGGCCCCCCCAGCAGGTCTCGAAAGTGGCGACGGTTTCACAGATCGCAGCCCCCCAGGGATGGCGACGTCCCATGTGAATCCGCCGTGGGTACCCACTGCGCTGGGCCCCCCAGCAGGCCTCGAAAGTGGCGGCCGTTCCACAGACTGCAGCCCCCCAGGGATGGCGAGGTCACATTTGAATCCGCCGTGGGTACCCTTTGTGCTGGCCCCCCCCCGGCAGGCCTCGAAAGTGGCGACGGTTTCACAAATCGCAACCCCCCAGGGATGGCGAGGTCCCATTTGAATCCGCCGTGGGTACCCACTGTGCTGGGCCCCCCAGCAGGCCTCGAAAGTGGCGACAGTTTCACAGATCGCAGCCCCCCAGGGATGGCGAGGTCCCATTTGAGTCCGCCGTGGGTGCCCACTGTGCTGGGCCCCTCAGCAGCCTCGAAAGTGGCGACAGTTTCACAGATCGCAGCCCCCCAGGGGTGGCGAGGTCTCATTTGAAACCGCCGTGGGTGCCCACTGTGCTGGGCCCCCCAGCAGGCCTCGAAAGTGGCGACAGTTTCACAGATCGCAACCCCCCAGGGATGGCGAGGTCCCATTTGAATCCGCCGTGGGTACCCACTGTGCTGGGCCCCCCCAGCAGGCCGCGAAAGTGGCGACAGTTTCACAGATCGCAGCCCCCCAGGGATGGCGAGGTCTCATTTGAGTCCGCCGTGGGTACCACTGCGCTGGGCCCCCCAGCAGGCGACAGTTTCACAGATTACAGCCCCCCAGGGATGGCGAGGTCCCATTTGAGTCCGCCGTGGGAACCCACTGTGCTGGGCCCCCCATCAGGCCTCGAAAGTGGCGATAGTTTCACAAGTCGCAGCCCCCCAGGGATGGCGAGGTCCCATTTGAGTCCGCCGTGGGTACCCACTGTGCTGGGCCCCTCAGCAGCCCTCGAAAGTGGCGACAGTTTCACATATCGCAGCCCCCCAGCTGGCACGCAGCGACGAGCGAGGCGAAAGGCAAGGGGGAAGAGAGGGACGGGAGGGGGTGGGAAGGAGACGCGCGAGCAGTGCTCTATTCAAAACGAGAACCCAACGCAGGAGGGTTGGGAAAAATGGCGTGCCGAACCAAATTCTTCAGACCGCGAAGATGCTGCCGTGCCGTGCAGTGCTGGCCATGTGTTTCATCTTGCCGCGCTGGTGTTTAAGGCCCCTATGCCTGTGCATTTGCTGTACGACTCATCCTCGGCCGCTGCTTAAACTCACCGCACCAGGGATGGCCCACGACCTGCCGTACGTCAGCGTTTCTGAATTCTGGCAGATACTGCACCCTGCTCAGGCTGTCCTTTGGCCCTCGTCTGTCCGCAATGATGGAGGCCCGTTGATGACGGCAGACGTGCCGGCGACGATGGCGTGCTGCTGCTGATCATCCTCCATGCCACGCGCCACATGAGGCATGAGAGTCGCATCTGGCTGGTCTGAACTTCCCATAGCTCCTCGATCATTGTCTCCCCACCTGGCCCTGAGACGGCGAGAGGGAGGCCAATCCACCCGTCTTTCCCCCGTCCTTCACCCTCACTCTCTCCTTCTCTTCTATTCGGCTCGAACTTACCACAATGAATCCTCGGATTCGCAGGACGCAATACATTTAACGCGGGCGAGGGGGAAGACGAGAGGAAGGAGTGGGGGAGGTTCTAGGGTAAGCCGGGTTACCTCCTCCTCCTCTCCCTCCCCCTCCCTCTCTGGAGGCCGCCCAGATGGGGTCGGAGTTCATGGACTCGGAGGCGTCAAAGAGAGGGGCGTCCAAGAGCGGGGCTCCAAAACCATGACCCCAGGGCCGTGCGCTGCTCAGGGGAAGGGGGGGGGGCGGGGGACGTGTCGAAACCAGGCGAGGCGCCCTGAAACCTGGAGAGACGTCATGGTACATCATGCCCACCCACATCCTCGCCCCCGTCTTGGCCGCCCCCTGCCCCCCTCCGCCTTCCTCGCCCGCCGGGCTGCCCTCCCCCTCAACGCCGCCGCCGGCCGCCGCTTTCCGGCGCGCCGCGCTCCGACGGGGCCCCCGCGCGCCGCGGCGGGGCCCCGGCTGCGCCGGGCCGCGTGTCCGCGCAGGCAGGTCCCAAACGTTGGCCCGAAGGCAGGATCAGCCAGCATCGGATCGCGAAAGCGGGCGGGATATGACCAGTTTGAGTCACATCCCCCATCTCCATGTCTGTTTGGCATCACCTACCTAGGGGCTGCCCTTCAGCCTGGCCGCCCCCGCGCGCTCCCCGCGGCCTCGCTGCGTGAGAGTCCGCACCTGTTTGTTCACCGCCGTGTGCTGCCACGCCCCCTCGAATGAGAGAAAGCCCGGGAGCAAAACAAATACCCAGGCTGATACAGAACCCCGCCGCGAGGCTGCGAATTATACAACAAACGTGGGGGATGGGGGATCGCGCAGAAGGTGCCTCCAAAACAATGCGCTGTGTCCCTTCGGGGAGCTGTTTGCCCGTTCCCCGTGTCCCGTCCACAGAGTTCTGAGTCTGGGAGGGTGCGGCGAAACTCGCCCAAGATGGCCCAATCTGGCTTCAAGGCGGCACCAGCTGGCATGCAAGATTGAGCATCATGGCTCCAGACGGCCCAAGCTTGCCTTCAGAATACCTCGCCGATGCCCACAACACACCCCACTATAACCCTGCGGTGGCCATCGAGTCTCCCAAGGATGCCACGACTGGGCAAGACCATTCAAACACTGTGACCGATACGGTGAATGCACCATGTCGCCTGTTCGGCTTCTGATGAGTCCCCCAGGCCTCACAATGGCCCTGAGATCGCTGAAGACGGCCTGAGAGAACCCCAAGAAGGTCTGAGAGAACCCCAAGAGGGTCCCAAGAGTGTCCCCCAGATGCTGTTTTCCTGGCTCCACGGAGAAGGTTTACCGAAGGCCGTTCTGTTTTGCTGTTTGACTCCAGTACGATCTCAAGAGGATCCCAAAATAATCCTCAGAGACGGCCCAGCATGAAGATGGGACCCAAAGACCTCCAACATTCCCCAAGAAGGCCCTACAAAGGCCCAAGTGGCATCCGAGAGACTCCCAGAGAACACAAAACTGGCAACTTTACGGGGGGGGGGCTGGGCTGCTTCCACGCATCCATGCATATTTTGGTCTGGCACGATTCCCCTTCGTTGCTCCGCTGAGTCTCCTCAACCTCCTTGCTCACAGCAAGTCTCCCACCGCAAGCCCCTTACGGGACGACGTCGGCCATGGCTTCTGCCACCGCGCGTGCCACCCACACAACCTTGAACGATCTCCGCTGCCGGAGGTCCCCCGGGGATGTCGACTCCACCCTCAATCGACGCCCTTTTTGGCGGAGGAGGAGGAGGAGGAGGAGGAGGAGGAGGAGGAGGAGGAGGAGGAGGAGTAGGAGGAGGAGGAGGAGGAGGAGGAGGAGGAGGAGGAGGAGGAGGAGGAGGAGGAGGAGGAGGAGGGAGGAGGAGAGGAGGAAGGAGGAGGAGGAGGGGAGGAGGAGGAAGGAGGGAGGAGGAGGAGGAGGAGGAGGAGGAGGAGGAGGAGGAGGAGAGGAGAAGACTCGGCCTTGCGCGTGGTCTGTGCCGATCCCTGACCGCGCGTGAACCCGTGCAATCAGAGCCCTACCTCGAACGATCATCGATCGAGTGCGATGAGGTCGTGAGTAGCGCGCGCCGTGCAGCCTGTCGTACGTGATCGTACCCAGGCAGTCGCAAATCGTGAGACCCCTCGAGGGCTGGGGGGGACACCCCACTGGCCTCCCAGTGCCGAGCCCACGTCGCTGCGGGCGACGGGCAGGCCTCCGAGGCACCCGCCCCGCCCCGAGGAGGGACCCACACTCCAGCAAGCGACGGACGAAAGGGGAACGACGCAGGAGAGAGGGCGACGAGGCAAGAGGGCGAGGCCAAAGCAGGAGAAGAGCAGAGGAAGCAGCGGAGGGGAGTGTGGGTCCCCGAATTCTGGAAGATGGCCACTCCGAGAAGACAGAGAGGACAGTGCCGACGGGGAGCAACGGTGCGAGGGTCACTAACGGCGCAGCGCCGGGCAGTCCCCACTCGCGCCGCGCCCCCCGCTCGGCGCGGCCTAGAGGAACGGGGCCTCAGGCATCGAGGTCACGTGGCAGTCAGGTACTCGGTGGTGGTCAGCGCGGGCGTGCACACAAGGCCGCGAATACACCACATAACATCATCAAAGAACGAGAGAGAGCGCGCCGAAGTCGGCATCAGGTCCGTGGGTGCGAGGAGGACGTCCGTCATACCATGTCATTCTGCGAGAGTTCCCGTGCTCTGATGCGGGCAAAGAGGGCAGCCCGACGAGCCTCCCACGGGGCGGGGCCCGAATCTGGCTGACTTACTTCGCGCCCTTGCCCTTGCTCTTTTGCTTCGTCTTGTCGAGGATGCGCTGCGCCATGGTCTCCAAGTGCCCCTGAGGGGCGGTCCCGAGCTTGAGCTTCGCGTCCTCCAGCTGGGCTAGCTTGATGATCGACTGCTCCACCTCCAGCTTGCTCAGGTGACGCTCGGGCGGACCCCCTTGACCGTCCGCCAGCTGCACCGTGATGTCCCCGCCGATCGCGAACTGCAGTCGTGTGTACTCCTCGTTGTAGCACTTCTTCAAACGGAAGTGCCTGATCACTAATCCTAGCTCCGCGGCCGAGCTGATCGACACGAACTTCTCGTAAAAAAGGACCAGGGTTTGGTATGCCTGAGTCCCCAGCTTCTGCAGCTTCTCTGAATCGACCATCGACTTGAACACGCCGCGCGCTATGTACAAATGTGGTGGCCCCAGGTGGGGCTTCGCTGCCGCGATGGCTGCCGCCTCCGCGTACATCTTGCCTGCTCCTCGCCCTGCGACCACCAGGAAGCTCAGCGACGGGACGACCAGGCACACCCACTCCGACGCCGCCAGGTCCCTCAGCAGCTGCGCGTGCATGCACGCCATCTTGAGCAAAATCGATATGGCCTGCTGCATGTCTCGAGCCCGAAGGGCCCCCTCGACCTGCTGAAGACCGTCTTCTGCATCGTCTGCTGCGTCCCCGAGGTTGGCCTTTTTTTTCCCCGAGGGTGCTCCTCCGAGGTCCTCGCCGTCGCCTGCCTTGCGCTTGTGCTTCTTGATCAGCAGCTCCAGGTCCATGGACTCCGCGTCTGGTTGCGACATGCCGCGGTCGAAGCCGAGGCCGAGGGAGAGTAGGAGCACCCAGGGCACAGTGTGTGCGTATGTGTACCTGCAGTTGTCGGAGATCTTGAGCCGTGAAGCTGCAAACGGGGCATTCGAGTGAAAAAGGTTGAACAACTTCTGCCGCCGTGTAGCTACTGCGTCCAAGAGCGCAGCGATTGTGGGCATAAGACCTCATAACATGTCGCTGAGCATTCTCCCGAGTGCTGAGAACCTGGAGGCACCTGAAACACTGGTTCGTGACCGTGAGAAGTGCTGCCTCGTTTCGAACTTTGTGAACTCTGCCTGCATGTAATAAAAGAGCTTTCATGCTGGTGAATGTGTCACCACACCGCTGCCCCTCTGAGTTCTTCAGATTGCAGACGAACTCGCCAGGGGCGTCCACCTCCTCCTCCACCTCCTCCTCCATCACGATACTCGGGGCCACCGAGGGCCCACTAGGTGGTGCGATCGCTTTAGAAAAATAGGTGGCCCTGATGACTGTGAGGTCAATCGAGGCCCAGTCGTCGAACTCCTTAGTGTAAAATAGACCCAAGAGAGGAAAATCTTCTGGAACTAAGTCAGCGAACTCCTCAGACTGGCTTCTGGCAAACTGGAGGTCCTCAAGTACCTGACGGGCCCAGGGGTTAGCCTTTTCGTGGATGGTCCAGTCGTCGTTCATGCTAGGTATGTCATTGATCGTGCCTAGTATGCATGCCCGAACCTGCCTGTGGGCGCTAGGGTATTTAATCCAGGACTGATACCAGCGTAGCCTCCGAAGTCGCAGTTCGTCTGCCAAGGGAAGGATCTGCCAGTAGGCCCATACCCTGTGAGAGCTCCACTTCCAGCGCACCCCGTCGTGGTCCTCAGTGCCCTTGACCCCGAGACCCCTGCGCATCGCCCTCATCATGATCTTGTCACCCTCGACCGTGAAACTTTTATCTGGGACCCTCCCCTCCATCCCCGACAAGAGAGCACCTTGCACGTACGAAAGGATGGCCATGCGCTTGATGCCGCGGGCAGCCTCGTGAACAAGAAAGTTAGAGATGATGCCGAGGCCAGTCCGACCAGCCTGGAATCTTTTTCCTTTCTCAATCAGCAACGATCCCTGCACCGTCAGCCAACCGCCGAGGATGCGCATAAATCTGCCAAACTGCCCAGAGAGACGCAGAGTGCCTGCATGCAGGAGGCGGCGTTGGGCGATGCAGCCTTTCCCAAAAAGCCTAGCCAGAGTGACTCGCTTGCCCTCGTTGAGCCCCACGCCGATGCCGTCCAGGGAGGATGCTAACTTACTGCTGCTAACCTGTGCCAGTGCGGTAAGGTGACGTGCCTCTCCTCCTCCTCCAAAGGGTTCAGGTCCTCTTCCTGGGATCACCGTCTTCGTGATATCGTCGGCGTACAGTGTGATGCCCGTGTCCGTGCGTGTGCCGTCCACCTCCTCCGCCTGTGAATACGTGTACGAGCTCGTCCCCGCCCTCCAGCTCAGAAAAGCCTCCAGGCCCTGAAGATAGAAATAAGGGAAGCCTCTGGCAGGATTAGGGTGTCCCATGAGCTCTCCAGAGGTAGGCCTGAGGGAGATGGGCCTGTCGGGTCCCATGATCTGCATCGCCGTCTGCATCGTGCGAGAGTGCTGGAACCTAACGTCCTCGGGGAGGTAGAGGGACTCGAGGCAATTCAAGATCGTCTCTCGTGTCGTACTGGCGAAAGCGTTCGTGGCATCTTCATTGATGATGGCGTGTGATAGCGATAACTTCTGGAGCCTCCAGCTCAAGCAGTCCTGCACCGCGATGGCGTCTTCGCGCCGGCGGCGACGAGCAAAGCCGTGACAAAAATACGGAAGTGGGTCACGGTGGCGACGAGCCCGATTCCAAAGATGGGCGTTCCACGCCTTGCCCATCGGGCAGAAGAGATGTATCCAACGTTGTCCGAGCGGTCCTGGCTTGCCATTGCCCTTGTCCAGGCCCACGATGTGGGAGATGTCGAAGACCAGTGGGGTGGAGGAAGTCCGCCGAAAGGATCCGATAATGTCGAGCATTCTTTCCCTGAAGGCCTGTGCCGTCGCAGGGGTAGGGCACGAACCCACTCCACCACGTTTGAACTTGTGCCACTGGTCGGGGTCGATCAGGATCAGCCAGAGCTCCGACGGCATACTCCACGCGGGTGTAGCTCGTCTCTTCGGTGCCCTGCGGAGCGCCCTGATGACGCCCGAAAGGTCCTGATCTGCCGTCTCTAAATCTGCCATCTGCATCGTGTCGTAGCGCTGCTGGTCCGTGCGGTGAGCCTCGTCCCCTTCGTAGGTGCGGTCGAAGCGCTCCGTCAGCTCCGCCTGTAGGTCGCAGTCCACCGCCGAGAGTCCGCCCTGCTGAGCGGGCAAGCGTAAGAAGTCGGCGATGTCCTGTGGTTCGCAGTTCTCCTCTCGTGCCTTGAAGTACTTCCGATGTCGGGGCCCTCTGCCCTTGCGGGCCAGTCGCCGAAGCAGAGTCTGCGCGGCGAAGTGGTCGTGCTCCCCCCAGGCGGAGTTGAGCTCCCCGACCAGCAGGGAGTTGCGTTCCTTGGTGATCTGGCGTGACAGCTGCCTGAGCCTGAACGTGATCCTCGCCAGTTCCAGTTCGACGTCCGCGCGTGCCTGACGGGGAGCAACGGTGCGAGGGTCACTAACGGCGCACCGCCGGGCAGTCCCCACTCGCGCCGCGCCCCCCGCTCGGCCCGAGTCTCGACCAATATGAAGTTCACGCAACCGTCGGCGACGTGCCAGGATCTCCGAACGCAGCCTCTCCAGAACCGACTTCTCAGCCGCCGAAGGCGAAGGGCGTAAAAACTCCGTCAGCGCCGCCTCCCTGAGCAGCACCGAAATAAAGTTCCACAGCTCGTCTGTCGTAGGCCGTGAGCAAAGCCGTACCCATTCATCTTCAGGGATGGTCAGGATGGCTTCGTGGACCCGTTCCACCGCAGAGGTGCACTCCTCCCCGCCGCGCAGGATGCGCGACATGGTATCGAAGTCCCAGCGCTGCCTCTGGGTAGAACTGGCCTCGAAGCGGTAGCTGCATTCCATGAAGACGGGGCGGTGGTCCCTGTCGTCCAGGGTATTCACGGGCTGGAGCCGCCTCCCCGCAGGTCGAAGAACACGGCAGACTCGGACGTGAGGAAGCAAGCCCGTCGGAGCGTGGATAAAGTCTATCCGCGACGTGTGTCCCAGTGGCCCGTGAAACGTTGGCCCAGCTGGGTAGTGCGTGTTGATCGCGCTCAGCGCCGTGTCCCTCAGCACCTGGTGCCAATTCTTGCCAGCGAAGTGCTCCAACTCAGCACCACAAGGGCCCACGTGTGCGGCGGCTTCCCGTTCCCAGTCCCAATCGGCTCCGTGTGTACTGGTGTCCCGTGTGGCCGTGACGCACTCGCCGTCCAATGTGTCGTCTGCGCAGAAGCCCAGTTGGTCATTCAAATCGATGCCGACAAACGGTGTGCACCTGGAGCCCACTCCGTTGATGACCGACTTCGCCCAGTTGCAAAGTCCCAGCACGACGTTCCGATACTGTGTGCGTCCGCCGCGGAGAGACGGAAGAGTTGGGAAGTAGAGCACCATGAATAGAACGTCCGAGGTCTGTGATTTTAAACGTACTGCTCCGCCACGTCCACTTAAGAAACTGGGCGGCGTGAAAATCTTACGAATGAAGTTCCTCGGGAAGCGCCTCTGGTGGAGGAAGATCGACACCCCGCAACTCTTGTTGGAGGCCCTCGTCCACCCGAAACTCAGTTCCCAGTGATAAGGATGAAGGAAAAGTGAGTGTGTGTCCTCTGTCTGGCGACGGGAGGTACCTGGCAGCATGATAGCTCCAATATTTTTGAATTCGTCAGAGACCTCCGATGCCCGCGTAGCCCCCGTCAGGAACATGGGATTATAGACGCACGTCCGAAGTGTGAATGTGTTGCCATCTTCAGCGTGGGGGCGGGTCCTCTCCATCACCAGGGCGCCAAGTACGCCCAGCTGCAGGAAGGCGAAGGCGCTCACGGCGAGGAGCCAGCGCCTCGCGCGAGGGGCCCCGACCCCCTCTCTCATGGGCGAGGAGAGCCCCTCGAGGGAGAAGCCATGCCGCTGAAACACCTGACTTTGTAAGGAAGTGTACTGAAGTGCCGCGGGAAAGGGGGGTAGTCTGGGCCGCTGCAGCGGCTGGAGGAGGAGGAGGAGGAGGAGGAGGAGGAGGAGGAGGAGGAGGAGGAGGAGGGGGAGGAGGAAGGAGGGGCGGGTTTGGGCTTCGCGCCGTGGCTCGCAGCTTCTGCGCCCCAGGGCCCGCCGGCGACACGACCCCGCCGCAGGGGACTCCCTCCTGGCTGGGCCAGCGGGGAGGCGCGCAGCGCCGACAGCGCATGCACGGTGCTCGGCACGTCGACCGCACGCTGGGGCACGGAGCTCCTCCCCCTCCTCCCTCCTCCTCCTCCCTCCTCATCCTCCTCCTCCGCCTCCCACCTCCTCTGCCTCCTCCTCCTCCTCCGCCACCTCCTCCTCTGCCTCCTCCTCCTCCTCCTGCTCTGCCTCCTCCTCCTCCTCCGCCTCCTCCTCCTCCTCCGCCCCCTACTCCTCCTCCTCCGCCTCCTCCTCCTCCTCCGCCTCCTCCTCCTCCACCGCCTCCTCCGCCTCATCCGCCTCCTCCTCCTCCTCTTCGTTCCACGGGGACCGCTCGCCAGGCAGTGTGCTGCTGTCAGGAGCTGTCGGCTGGCGCGTCGCCACGGCGGCCCCGGCGACACGCCATGCTTTGCCTGTGGACAGCGTGTCGCTCCGCTGCGCGGGGCAGTGAGCTCGAAAAGGCTCGGGACGTTGAAGCCTGGCGACTGGGAAGTGGATACCGTATCCATCCCAGGCGTGGTGGGCCAGAACCGGCGCAGCGACGAGCTATCCAAAGGCTCCCGACCGTCGGGGGATGCGCCCAAGGTGGCACGCAGGGAAGCGTGTGAAACGGGAGCACAGAATGGCGAACGAACAACGCACACGGATAACCATAGGGGGGGACGGGGAGGGCTATGTGTGCGTGCTGTGCTGTCGGATGGGAGTCCCCGCTCGAACGGGAGCCCACCTTGGGGTCCGACAGCCCGCACCCATACCCATAGCCAGTCCACCTCCCTCCGACTCCCCTGTGGGTATGATTATGTGTTGTTCGTTTGTCACGAAAGAGGGCCGCGCGCGATCGCCGACGGCTCGGCACTGCGGCTCAGAACAGCTGTGGCGTGCCGGCGGGCACCGCTGCGGCTTGAGGCGGCAGCTGCGCCCACCTTGTGGCTTCGGCCGCTCGGCGCGTCGCCGCGTCGCAGAAGGCCGCGCGCGAGCGCGCGCCAGCGGCTTGGCACTCGGGCTCAGAACCACCGCGGCCTCCTGGATGGCACCGCGGCGGCCTCAGGAGGGCAGCGCCAGTTAAGCATCACCGCCACAGACACTCTCGAGGGTAACTGCGGGGGGGGAATGGCTCAGGGTGGAAACCTCCGACCTGAAATCGGCGATACATCGCCGATGCATCTGAGACAGGCCACCGATAAAAAATCCGCACCTTCCTGGGCAGGGTGGGGCTACCAGATCCCTACCGGCGATCAATAGGCGATTGGGGTCGATGCATTCCCCCCCGAGTCTGTCTCTACAAGCAGGGCCCCTCCGTGGCCAGAGGGGAACACCACGGACCGCGGAGTCCACCGGCAGCTGCGGCAGCCTACTCTTGGGGGGGCTTCCGAGCTGCGCGCCCACCGAAAGATCGCCTCGAGACGTCTGCTTGTGTTGCTTGTTCTTAACCCCGCCCGTGCTTCACGACCTCAGGGGGGGCAGCGAGTCGCACGCGGAGCCTCGGATGCGCAACCCCGCCCTGGGCAACAACACCACAACAACAACAACAACAACAACAACAACACCAACAACAACAACAACAACAACAACAACAACAACAACAACAGCAACAATCATTTAAGACTGGGGACACTCCGTTCTCACCAGTGCCAGGGTTTTCATAGGAGGCGGGCAATACCCCCACTTTGTGGGGGGGCCGGTTCAAGCTCTACCAAATTTCCAAACGACTCTTCGCCACCACCCACACCCAGCTTCCCGCCCTATGACGTTCGGACACTTCACTTCGTGGCATGCGGACGACCGTGGCTACTATTCAGGGCCCCGCGGCCGACGACGACGGCGTGCGCGCGCGAAGAAAAAACGAATGTGTCCAATATGGTATTATTTGACAGGGATGATGGCCCTGGCATGCGCGCAACCGTTGTTGCAGAAGTTCGAAGCACGTGAAAAAGTTGCTCGCAAGAGCCCGTTTGACAGAAATGTTGAAAAAATATTGGGTTTCCTCAGAAATCCGCAAGAGCGCGCAAGATGAATGTTTGAAACTTTTGTTTTGAAAAACCATTGGGTTTTTCATGTTTTTATGTTAAAATCGCTACGAAAACTAAGGTTTTGGAAGGATTTCATCTTGCGCGCGCGAGTGTGCACTTCGTGTCATTTTTTCAAAGGATTCTTGAAGTTTGGTTATGTTAGAACAAGAAATTTCATTTTATAGTGTTTTTTGCAAGGGAAAGCGGGCGTCAACAAAACAACCGGATCCGGACACCCACGTTTTGCCTGAGACTTCCTCACGAAAATGATGAAAATGTGGCTGCGGCCTAGGCGCGGCGGGGGGGGCGCGCACCAGGGGTCCCAACAATAATTATTCTTAAGAAGAAATAATGTTCAACAGCAACAACAACATCAACAACCCCCCCGACCTCGGGAACGGCATCCGGTGCGCAGCACTGCCCCGCCTGCCCTCCTCTCCCGCTTAAGCTCCGCCTCTGCGCGAAGGCGAGGACTGCAGCCATCGTGCCACCGTGCGGACAGGCGGAGCAAGGAACGAGGAGGGGGCTTCTCTGGCCACGGCGAGCCTCGGCAGCGAGCAGGCCGCTCGACCCAAGGATACCAAACATCTGGAACCTCACATGGCTGGATTCACGTGCGGACAATCCGGCATCCGCGCGCTGGGTACGCCTGCGGAAGCCCGGCGCGACTGGCCACAGAGGGGCCGAGCGCCGAACCGGCATCTGGCCACACGTGCACCCACCTCCTCTTGCCGTCGCTCGGACGTCCATTTCCCGTGCATTGTGTCGGTTTCGTGCGTGCTTTTCCCGGAAAGGGCCTGAGCCCAGGGTTCTCTTTTAGTAGGTAAACCTGTCCCCCGGTGCCAACTTGAGGGAGGCCGGCGAATTTTTTCCCTGATAAATAACGAGGTCGAAGGAGGCCGGCGAATTAAAATTTGAGGATGTCTCGAGCGAAACGCTTGTTTTTGAAATCCCGATCGATAAATCACAGGGTGCGGGCCACTTTTTCGTGTGTTGAGGATGTCTCGAGCGAAACGCTTGCTCCGCAGAGTTTGCCGAGGATGTCTCGAGCGAAACGCTTGTTTTGCAGAGCCGACCGCGACGCGGAAAAGCGCCCCGCGCGAAGGAATTTCGATGATGTCTCGACTAATTCCTTTGTTCCCGGAAAGGGCTCCGGCCCAGGGTTCTCTTTTAGTAGGTAAACCTAGTCCCCCGGTGCCTGCTTGAAGGAGGCCGGCGAATTTTTTCCCTGATAAATAACGAGGTCGAAGGAGGCCGGCGAATTTTTCCCTGATAAATAACGAGCCCGAGAATTAAAATTTGAGGATGTCTCGAGCGAAACGCTTGTTTTTGAGGCCGGCGAATTAAAATTTGAGGATGTCTCGAGCGAAACGCTTGTTCCGCAGAGTTTGGTGAGGATGTCTCGAGCGAAACGCTTGTTTTGCAGAGCCGACCGCGACGCGGAAAAGCGCCCCGCGCGAAGGAATTTCGATGATGTCTCGACTAATTCGTTTGTTTTTGTACGATTTCCTGGAATTTTGGCAGGATGTCTCGAGCGAAATGCACGACCCCACCCTAGCACGACCATACCCCAGCACGACCACACCCCAGCACGACCAGACCCCAGCACGACCCCACCCCAGCACGACCCCACCCCAGCACGACCATACCCCAGCACGACCACACCCCAGCACGACCCGACCCCAGCACGACCCTACCCAGCAAGACCACACCCCAGCACGACCACACCCCAGCACGACCTCACCACAGCACGACCACACCCCAGCACGACCACGCCCCAGCACGACCACGCCCCAGCACGACCACGCCCCAGCACGACCACCCCCAGCACGACCACACCCCAGCCCCCACCCCAGCACGACCACACCCCAGACGACCACCCCAGCACGACCACACCCCAGCACGACCACACCCCAGCACGACCACACCACAGCACGACCACACCCCAGCACGACCACGCCCCAGCACGACCACGCCCCAGCACGACCCACCCCAGCACGACCACACCCCAGCACGACCACACCCCAGCACGACCACGCCCCAGCATGACCACACCCCAGCACGACCACACCCCAGCACGACCACTCCCCAGCACGACCCCACCCCAGCACGACCCCACCCTAGCACGACCACACCCCAGCACGACCACACCCCAGCACGACCCCACCCCAGCACGATCACACCCCAGCACGACCCCACCCCAGCAAGACCACACCCCAGCACGACCGCACCCCAGCACGACCTTACCACAGCACGACCACACCCCAGCACGACCACGCCCCAGCACGACCACGCCCCAGCACGACCACGCCCCAGCACGACCACGCCCCAGCACGACCACGCCCCAGCACGACCACGCCCCAGCACGACCACCCCCAGCACGACCACCCCCCCAGCACGACCACCCCCCAGCACGACCACCCCCCAGCACGACCACACCCCAGCACGACCACTCCCCAGCACGACCACACCGCCTTGGTTGAGTGGTTGCCTGTCGTCGTGGAATGTTTCGTGGGGTGTCTCGTGGAATGTTTCGCGGGGTGTCTCGTGAAATGTTTCGTGAGGTGTCTCGTGGAATGTTTCGTGAGGTGTCTCGTGGGCTGTTTCGTGAGGTGTCTCGTGGGATGTTTCGTGAGGTGTTGCCCAGTTGGGTATCATGAAAACGTGTCCATGCTCCACATGTCTATATCCCTTTCCGGGTTCGTGGGTCCATCATGTTTTTGTACGATTTCCTGGAATTTTGGCAGGATGTCTCGAGCGAAATGCACGACCCCACCCTAGCACGACCATACCCCAGCACGACCACACCCCAGCACGACCAGACCCCAGCACGACCCCACCCCAGCACGACCCCACCCCAGCACGACCATACCCCAGCACGACCACACCCCAGCACGACCCGACCCCAGCACGACCCTACCCCAGCAAGACCACACCCCAGCACGACCACACCCCAGCACGACCTCACCACAGCACGACCACACCCCAGCACGACCACGCCCCAGCACGACCACGCCCCAGCACGACCACGCCCCAGCACGACCACCCCCAGCACGCCACCCCCCCAGCACGACCACCCCCCAGCACGACCACCCCCCAGCACGACCACACCCCAGCACGACCACCTCCAGCACGACACACCCAGCACGACCACCCCCCCAGCACGACCACCCCTCAGCACGACCACACCCCAGCACGACCACACCCCAGCACGACCACGCCCCAGCACGACCACACCCCAGCACGACCACACCCCAGCACGACCACACCCCAGCACGACCACACCCCAACACGACCACACCCCACCACGATCACACCCCACCACGACCACACCCCAGCACGACCCGATCGATGAATCACAGGGTGCGGACCACCCCAGCACGACCACACCCCAGCACGACCCCACCCCAGCACGACCACACCCCAGCACGACCACGCCCCAGCACGACCAAGCACGACCACGCCCCAGCACGCACGACCACCCCCCCAGCACGACCACACCCCAGCACGACCACACCCCAGCACGACCAGCCCCAGCACGACACACCCCAGCACGACCAGCACGACCACACCCAGCACGACCACACCCCAGCACGACCCCACCCCAGCACGACCCCACCCCAGCACGACCCCACCCTAGCAAGACCACACCCCAGCACGACCACACCCCAGCACGACCACCCCACAGCACGACCACACCCCAGCACGACCACGCCCCAGCACGACCACGCCCCAGCACGACCACGCCCCAGCACGACCACCCCCCCCCCAGCACGACCACCCCCCCAGCACGACCACCCCCAGCACGACCACCCCCCAGCACGACCACTCCCCAGCACGACCACTCCCCAGCACGACCACACCGCCTTGGTTGAGTGGTTGCCTGTCGTCGTGGAATGTTTCGTGGGGTGTCTCGTGGAATGTTTCGCGGGGTGTCTCGTGGAATGTTTCGTGAGGTGTCTCGTGGAATGTTTCGTGGGGTGTCTCGTGGGATGTTTCGTGAAGTGTCTCGTGGGATGTTTCGTGAGGTGTTGCCCAGTTGGGTATCGTGAAAACGTGTCCATGCTCCACATGTCTATATCCCTTTCCGGGTTCGTGGGTCCATCATGTTTTGCTCGATGGTCCTGGATGGTCCTCGATAGTTCTCGCCGAGGAACAAATGTACACGTCCGAGCGATGCCAAGACCTCTGGCCCAGGCTGGCCGCGTCACGTGCGTCCAGCCCACCGTGGAGGAGCGGCCCGAAGGCCAGCGGGCCCCCCTCCTGGCCCCCAAGAGGCCCTCACTCCGGCGCCCCGGCTGCAGAACGAGCAGGGCCACGCGCCGGCGGGCGGGAGGGGTCGAGGCCCGAGGAGTCGAGGCCCGAGGCGTCGAGGCTCGAGGACCGAGGCCAGCGGAGCGAGGATCGAGGCTCGAGGACCAGTGAACGAGGCTCGATGGACGAACCAGGAGCAGGCGCCTCGGCCCACTGCCGAAGGGCCGAGGGCCTCCGAGGGCGGGCGGGCGAGGCCGGCCTCTGGCGGCGACTTGCCCTCGGCCAGGGCGCCGTCCGCACCCCCGGCCGCGGTGTCCGCGCCGCCCCCGAAGCACGCCAGGGGCAGCCTGACCTCGGCGCGCGCGGCGCGGGGGGGGGGAGGGGGACCTCGCGCTGAGGCCCTCGGCCATGGGGCCTCGTCGCCCTCGTCCCCCCTCTTCCTCCCTCCTGCTCCTTCCTCCTCCACCTCCTCCTCCTCCTCCTCCTGCTGCTCGTAGCCGTGGTGGTGGTCGTGGTCGTTGTCGTCGAGGTCGTCGTGGTCGTCGTGGTCGTCGTGAAGGTAGTGGTCCTCGTCCTCGTGGTCGTGGTCATGGTCGTGGTCATGGTCGTGGTCGTCGTCGTCGTCGTCGCCGCCGCCATCGTCGTCGTCGTCGTCCTCCTCCTCCTCCTCCTTCTCCTCCTCCTTCTTCTCGTTCTCCTTCTCCTCCTCCTCCTCCTCCTTCTCCTCCTTCTCCTCCTCGCCTTACTCATCCTCCTCGTCCTCCTGCAATTACAAATGTCTTGCTGTGAACGCCTACGCCGATTCGCAAGCTTCCGTGCGGCTGATCCACGGTGACCTCCGCACCGCTGATCGTTTCTGTTTTGCTCTGACAGGACTGCGACCCTTGGGAGGCAGCTGGGCCTCGATCCCGCATCGAGCCTCGTCCTCCACCTCCTCCTCGTCCTCCTCGCGCCGCCTCGTGGGGCGCCAGGGCACTGCGCTAGCCCTGGGACCAGACCTGCGGCCGAGCCAACGCCCTCTCAAGGGCCGCGTGGGCGTGGCCGCAGGGTCCAAGCCTCGCGGAGCGGACGGCGGACTCCGCGCTTGCTCCCGGGAGCAGCAGCGGGGGGACCACCTGACACCCAGCCTGCACAAGCGCCCCGACCGCGACTTGTCGGGTAGGTGATTTCTTCCATACCTCAGTCGCCCCGTGGTGATCTGCATGTCCCGAAAGGATCGATGATACGTTCACTAGGATCACGGAGGGGAGGAAGCCGTCGAGAATCACCAACGCCGAGCCAAGCCAATCACGGGCGAGCCACCGACGTGGCTACTTTCGACACTGACTTCTTCGTGTGCGAGCTGCGATCATGGGAACTAAGCCGCTGGCCGCACTCGCCGGCATCGCGATGGTAACTGCGCTGCCACCACCTTTCCGACGATATACGCATTGGTGTGGGGGTGTTGGGGCCAGGAGCTTGGGAAGTGGCACGCGTTGAGGAACTAGCCATTGGATACGTAGTCTATGGTAACGCGCCTTGCAGAAGGCGAACGGAGCAGTGCCAGAAAAGCCATCCAGGGCAAGTGCCAACCCCATGAAGACGTGACGCCTGTGCAGCCAGGCACGCGGCCGCCCCTTCGACGCAGCTCTTCCCCAGCATTGCTCAGAGACGACGACTGGTGACTGGGGAAACAGCAAGAGCAGATCAGACACTGCCCCCCCGCCCTCCCCAGACCTCCCCCGACATGGCGAAAGCGAGGGGCATGGCGCCAGCGTCGGTGCGGCCTCCTCCCTCGAGCGTGCGCCTCCCCCGGGCAGGGGGAGGCGCACCCCTCCGCCCCCCCCCCCGTGCGGGCGAGGCGCTCGCCACGGTTCACGCCCCCCGCGGCGCCTCTCTCTTTGTCGTCCGTGGCGCTGGCCTGGCACAGGGGCAGGAGGGGGGGGGGCAGTTCTCGTCGCGACGGGCTCGCGAGGGGGAAGGCCCTCCGACGGGCAGACGGCACCCACACGCCACAGACCATGCCTGGCCAGGGCCACCCTGGTCTCTGGCATGGTGTATGCACCCTCGCGGCCGAGGGCGGGGGATGCGTACACCGTCCTGGAGCCCACGATGGCTCTGGCCAGGCCTTACGGTGGTCCTCGGCGTGCGACTCCTCTGGGGCCTCGTAGAAGCGTTCCTGGACCGCTTGGCCTAAGCCTTCTCCAGGCTGCTTTTGGCCCAGGCCCCTCCTAGATCCCCCACCCCCACATCTGCTTGCACCCTTGGCCTGCATGTTAGCTGGCAGCGATTGCCTCAGGCGCTCCAAGTCGGCCTGCAGGGCGGCGTGGGCCTCCTTCAGCTCCTGGTGGGGGGGGGGGTCACGCACACTGATGTCTGCGTGAGAGAGAGAGAGAGAGAGAGAGAGAGAACGGATGTGTGTGTGTGCGCGCGCGTCCCAGCAATGTCAAGTGTTGGGCCAGAGCTGAAGAATTTGCACGAGCACAATCTGGACCTTAACCAGGCTCTCAGAGCGGTCCTTCGACACATTGGCAACATGGCTTGCAAAATGACGAACTGGATGGTTTGCCTGGGTGGCCGACGCCGGGTCATAGGCCGGATGGAACAATCGATGGACCTCCTCCGGGTGAGCCCCTGATCCAGAGCCCCGCGGTGGGGGCCCATGCGGTTGGGGTGATGGCTCGTCGGTGGGAGGGGCTCCAGAAACAAATCTATCAAATAATGCCTCAAGGAATCAACCTCAGTGGTGCCTGATGGCCCTCATTTCAGAGAAGCGTGCTCTCGTCTGCAGCCTTCCTGCGCTCCTGGTAAGTATCGAGGAGCTGCCCCCGAGGGGCAATGGACTGAGAACTCATCCTGGCTGCGGCCGAACTCAGACATGCCGCCAGTTCGCGTGCCCCGTGGGATGTCCAGCGCAGCAGCGCCGCCACACGAACAGCCAGACCACACCTCGCCCCTTCCTTTGCGTGCTCCAGCCGCCTTCCACCCCCCTGCTGGCGGAGCCGCCGCCGCTTTAGCTCCGCTGGACTCCGCCTAAGAAAATACTTTGCGTGCTCCAGCCGCCTTCCACTTCATGATAATAATCACAAGCGGAGCTCTTGACCCCGTCTTTCTGCTGCATATTTCGAGCCGGATCGGCCTGTGATGGTCCCAGAGCCCGACCGACCACGGGCGGAAACGCCAGCCGTGAACAAAATTGCGGCGCCCGGCGCTCGGGACCCACGGCGAGCAGACGTCGCCAGGCGCCTCGCCGAGCCGCCTCTGCCTCCCCGACCGGCGGGGAGCGGCCTTCTGGAGGACCTCGCTCTGCCAGAGTCTCCGCTGCAGCGCCCCGTTCTCGTCGCGCAGGTGCTGCAGCGACGCCTCCCGGCGGGGCCGCACCGAGGGGCCGAGGGCCGCTGGGCGTGCCCGGCCTCCCTGGGGCCGATGGTGTCTGGACGCATCTGCCCCTGGGCTGCACGCAGGAAGGACCCTACAGGCAATCGGATGACCTGTGACGCGCGGATAGAACGGGCCGCGGAGGGGGCCCACTCCAGGCACGCGCCGGCCAGTGCCGGAGGGAACCCCCGTGGGCCAGCACCAAGGGCCACTCCAGCGCAGGGTCCCTCCGACGCGAAGCCGACCCTTTTTGGGGCCTCACCGATGGGGACGGGGACCAAAGGTTTCTGGACGTGCACGGCCTTCTCGGGGGCCTCCCGGGACGCCCTCGACGCCACGGCGGGACGCGGCTCGGAGGTTCTGCGCAGATGCTGTGTCGGGGGACACGGGGTCGAGGGGTGAACTCCCCTCTCCTCCTCCTCCTCCTCCTCCTCCTCCTCCTCCTCCTCCTCCTCCTCCTCCTCCTCCTCCTCCTCCTGCTCCTCCTCCTCCTCCAGGCGGCACGGCCTGGCTGCCTGCCTCGGGCCGACGGGCGGCACGGCCTGCCCAGGGCCGACGGTGCGAAGCAGCCTTGCCTCCACTGGAGCCACCGCGGGCCAGTGGCGGCAGAGGAGGAGGAGGAGGAGGAGGAGGAGGAGGAGGAGGAGGAGGAGGAGGAGGAGCAGAAGGAGGAAGAGGAGAATGAGAAGGGGGAGGAGGAAGAGGAAGAAGAGGAGGAAAAGGAGGAGGAGGAGGAGGAGGAGGAGGAGGAGGAGGATGAGGAGGAGGAGAGGAGGGCTCAAGGAGCCCCCAGAGCACCAGAGGGGTGAACTCCTGAGAATCAGGGCCGACCGCCTCACCGGTCCTGGCTGGGCCCATCCGGGGCCCAGCGCGTTCTCCCTGGCCAAGCTGGGAGGGTGTATGCACCGATCAGCGAGGTGGTCAGTCGACGCCCCACGGTACGAAAGCATCGGAGGCCCCTTTCAAGAAGCAGACTCATGGAGGTCTCCAGCCCCTGCTGCGGAGCCCCCCGGCGTCCTCAAAGGCCCCACACCTCGGCGGCGAGCGAGGGAGGGAAGTGAGAAGGGGCGGGCCTTGGCAGCAAGCTCGGAAGTCCACATGCCTTCTGAGAAGCTTCCTGAGCCTCCCCCAAAGGCAAGGAAAACCTCCCAGAAGGCGCGAAGTCTTCTGAGAAGTCCCGCCGCCTTCTGAGAAGGCCTTCTCCTTCTCATTCCCCCCCTCGCTCGCCACCGAACAACCCCTCGCCCGACACCCGTCGGCCATACGCAAGAGTGACCCTGGATAAGAGTGACCTTTGGTGCGCGGCTTTTGGGGGGCCGCGGGGGGACCGAACTTGGACGCGCAAGTAGCTGCTACTGTTTCGTTTTCAGCCATCTGGGGACCCACCTGTGCCCGCACCATGGGTCACTCCGGCGAAAGGTCACTCCTACGTCTAGACGACACCCGCTCAACGCGGAGCCCTGGTCCCCTCCCGGTGTCCAGCCCGCCCAGCGTTCCGAGCCGCGCCCGGCCGTGGCGACGAGGGCGCTCCAGGAGGCTTCCCCCCCCAAAAAAAAAGGCAGGCACGTCCCAGACCATGCCCTCCTCCTCCTCCTCCTCCTCCTCCTCCTCCTCTTCTTTTTTCCCGGAAAGGGCTCCGGCCCAGGGTTCTCTTTTAGTAGGTAAACCTAGTCCCCCGGTGCCTGCTTGAAGGAGGCCGGCGAATTTTTTCCCTGATAAATAACGAGGTCGAAGGAGGCCGGCGAATTTTTCCCTGATAAATAACGAGCCCGAGAATTAAAATTTGAGGATGTCTCGAGCGAAACGCTTGTTTTTGAGGCCGGCGAATTAAAATTTGAGGATGTCTCGAGCGAAACGCTTGTTTTTCAGAAAATGGTGAGGATGTCTCGAGCGAAACGCTTGTTTTGTGTTATAGATTGTCCTCTCCTGGGGACCTGAATTCTGAGGACCACCTCCCAGCACGACCACCCCCCCAGCACGACCACCCCCCAGCACGACCACCCCCCAGCACGACCACCCCCCAGCACGACCACACCCCAGCACGACCACTCCCCAGCACGACCACACCCCAGCACGACCCCACCCCAGCACGACCCCACCCTAGCACGACCACACCCCAGCACGATCACACCCCAGAACGACCACACCCCAGCACGACCCCACCCCAGCACGACCCCACCCCAGCACGACCACACCCCAGCACGACCACACCCCAGCAGGACCCCACCCCAGCACGACCCCACCCCAGCACGGCCCACCCCAGCAAGACCACACCCCAGCACGACCACACCCCAGCACGACCTCACCACAGCACGACCACACCCCAGCACGACACGCCCCAGCACGACCACGCCCCAGCACGACCACTCCCCAGCACGACCACCCCCAGCACGACCACCCCCCAGCACGACCACGACCACCCCCCAGCACGACCACACCCCAGCACGACCACACCCCAGCACGACCACACCCCAGCACGACCCCACCCCAGCACGACCCCACCCTAGCACGACCACACCCCAGCACGACCACACCCCAGAACGACCACACCCCAGCACGACCCCACCCAAGCACGACCCCACCCCAGCACGACCACACCCCAGCACGACCACACCCCAGCAGGACCCCACCCCAGCACGACCCCACCCCAGCACGGCCCCACCCCAGCAAGACCACACCCCAGCACGACCACACTCCAGCACGACCTCACCACAGCACGACCACTCCCCAGCACGATCACGCCCCAGCACGACCACGCCCCAGCACGACCACTCCCCAGCACGACCACCTCCCAGCACGACCACCCCCCCAGCACGACCACCCCCCAGCACGACCACCCCCCCAGCACGACCACACCCCAGCACGACCACACCCCAGCACGACCACACCCAGTCGCACCCCCGTGGAATGTTTCGTGGGTGTCTCGTGGAATGTTTCGTGGGGTGTCTCGTGGAATGTTTCGTGGGGTGTCTCGTGGAATGTTTCGCGGGGTGTCTCGTGGAACGTTTCGCGAGGTGTCTCGTGGAATGTTTCGCGAGGTGTCTCGTGGGATGTTTCGCGGGGTGTCTCGTGGGATGTTTTGTGAGATGTCGCCCAGTTGGGTATCGTGAAAACGTGACCATGCTGCGCATGTCTATATCCCTTTCCGGGTTCGTGGGTCCATCATGTCTTATTATTATTCTTCTCCTCCTTCTTCTTATTATTATTATTATTCTTCTTCGTCGTCGTCGTCCTCCTCCTCCTCCTCCTGCCCCTCCCCCCCCCCAAAAAGGCAGGCACGTCCCAGACCCTGGTCTGCGTCCTCGAGCCTTACCCTCGCGGACTCCCCCTCCTGGGGCATCCTGGCCAGCCTTCCGAGCCGCGTCCAGCTTTGGCGACGAGGGGGTCCCAGGAGGACCCCAGACACGCCCAGAACACGTCCAATACCTGCCTTGCATCCTCGAGCCCATCCCTCGCCCCGCCCACCTTTGTTTGCGCATGCGCTGTCTCAGGGGCCCTTGCAAGAGCGGCACACGAGAAGATGGACAGGGGAGTTGAGGAGAAGGAGGAGGGAGAGGAGAAAGGGGGAGCAGGAGGAGCAGGAGGACAAGCCACTTGGGATCTCCCCGCTCGCTGGAGCCCCTGTGGCGCCAGGAAGGTGCTCGAAGTCCCACCAGCCCTTTGCGCTAAGGTGGTCCAACGAATTATTTGTCTACTCTTCCACAAGTCCTCTTGCCTTCGGATAGGGGTGCCCTCCCCCTCCCCTTTCCCGATGATTTTTGTTACCTAGGACCTAACAGCGAAGACTGATAGGTTTCTAGTGGGGCCAAAAGAGAGCATCCTGATTCCCCAGGGGGGTCTGGGCAGATGCCGGACGGGTGCCCCGGGGATCCGGGGACTTTTTCCCGGAAAGGGCAAGAGCCCAGGGGTCTCTTTTAGTTGGTAAACCTAATCCCCCGGTGCCTGCTTGAGGGAGGCCGGCGAATTTTTTCCCTGATAAATAACGAGGTCGAAGGAGGCCGGCGAATTAAAATTTGAGGATGTCTCGAGCGAAACGCTTGTTTTGCAGAATTTCTTGAGGATGTCTCGAGCGAAACGCTGGTTTTGCAGAGTTGAGGATGTCTCGAGCGAAACGCTTGCTCCGCAGAGTTTGCCGAGGATGTCTCGAGCGAAACGCTTGTTTTGCAGAGCCGACCGCGACGCGGAAAAGCGCCCCGCGCGAAGGACTTTCGATGATGTCTCGACTAATTCGTTTGTTTTTGTACGATTTCCTGGATTTTTGGCAGGATGTCTCGAGCGAAATGCACGACCCCACCCTAGCACGACCATACCCCAGCACGACCACACCCCAGCACGACCAGACCCCAGCACGACCCCACCCCAGCACGACCCCCCCCCAGCACGACCATACCCCAGCACGACCACACCCCAGCACGACC